GGGTGCCCTTAGTTCGTGGGGGGGGGAGGGTTCAGATGCTACCGTAATGCGTGTAATACAGGGGCAGAGGAGTGCCGGGGGAGGGGAGGGCAGTGCCGGGGCAGCGCTCATTAGCCCCGGTGTCTGGCCCCTCCTCCCGGTGCGGGAGGCTCCGGCCGGAGGCGGCTCCGGGCTTTCAGCACCACGAACAGGGCCCGGCCCCTCGCCCGCCCCGCGCTGTCACGAGTTTGCCCCGCGTCGGGCCTCAGCTCTGTGCCCCGCTCTTCTCCCGGGGTAGGCGGCTGCCCGGGCCCGCGGGGACCAGCCCCACGGTGGGAAGGGGCAGGCTGGGCCCCCCCCCGCTCTGTGCCTCAGTTTCCCCGGCTCTTAAAGGCTTCCTGGCGCTGCGGTCCCGCAGAGACTGGCTCGTGTGCGCGTGTGCAGCTGTGAACACGGGGGCGCGCGCGTGATGTGCGGATGTCTACGCGGACGTGGGCATGCATGGGCACGCGCGCATGTATGCAAGTGTGTACATGCACACAAATGCATGTAAGTGCATGAATGTACATGCGTGTGTGTAGGTGTGCTCGTGCATGCATGCACGTGCACACCTATATGTGTGTTTATGCATGCGATGCATGTCTATGCGTGTGTGCACGTGTGAGTACTTGTGTAGGTGTGTACATGCCTATGCATGTGTGTGTGCACATGTGCGCGTATGATGTATGTGTGTTTACACGTGATGCATGCGTACATGTCCATGTATATGTGTTCATGCATGTGTGCAGGTGATGCATGTGTGCACCTGAGTGTGTGTGCATGTATAACTGCATGTGTGTGCAGGTATGTGCATTCCCATGTACGTATGTGTGTTTATACGTGTGCGTGCATGCAATGCATGTATGTACTTGCACGTGCATGCATGTATGTATGTGCCCATGCATGTGTGTACATGCCCACATGTGTTTATGTGTGTGCACATGGGATGCGTGTGTGCACTTGTGCATGTGTGTACATGCCTATGTATGTGTGTGGGCATGTGTGCACATGTGATGCATGTGTGTTTGCACACGCAATGCATGCATACATGCCCATGTATGTGTGTTCATGTGTGTGTGCAGGTGATCCATGTGTGCACCTAAGTGTGTGTGGATGCGTACCTGCATATATGTGCAGGTATGTGCATACCCATGTACGTATGTGTTTATGCACGTGCATGTATGTATGTGTACATGGCCACGTATATATATGTTTGTGTGTGTGCACATGGGATGCATGCGTGCACTTATGTATGTGTGTACATGCCTATGTATGTGTGTGTGTATGTGTGCACGTGGGATGCATGTGTGTTTACACATGCGATGCATGCGTACATGCCCATGTACGTGTTCACACGTGTGCAGGTGATGCACGGGTGCACCTGAGTATGTGTACCTGCATATGTGTGCAGGTATGTGCATGCCCATGTACATATGCGTGTTTATGCGTGTGCCTGCATGCGATGCATGTGTGTACCTCCGTATGTGTGCATGCCTATGCATCTTTGGTATCCAGGTTGCAGCCGTATTGGTCTAGAGGAAAAAACAATCAGGACTCGTAGTAGAGATGAGATCTTTTATTAGACCAACAAGATTTTTTGCAAAAAATAAAAATAAAAGTAATCTTTAATTGCAACCCTCATGCATGTCTGTGCGTTTATGCGTGTGCACATTGCTGGACGCAGAGCTTGTCCAGACCTATGCAAAACTGAAACGACTAAATGACAATATCAGTGCCTTTTGCACAAGAATGTACACTCGTGACGGGGCCCACCCGAAACATTGCAATACAGTTCATCCCATCTCTGGCTTTGGTATCAAGTAGGCCCCATGCCCAACTACTCTGAACTGATTATGAATCAATTAAATTCCCCTTTCAAAGTGATTGCCTCTCCCTTGCTATCACCTTCCTCCCCAGTTTAGGTGTCTGTGCCAACTGGAGAAGATTGTGGGATCTGCCCTGTTATAACAATGACCTATACCCTGGCTTAGGATTCAGGGCCTAAAGTGCTCAATTCGAGTAATCAAGCCCTACCTCAATTAATCAAGTAGTAAACCACTGGTTTTGGGTGTTGGGCTTCAAGCAATCAAGCTATACTATAGTTAAGCAAATGCTAAACCTCCAGAGTGATCAAGGGTCTTTGTGCATGTCAGTTGGTTGGTCCAGCGATGGATCCAAAAGGCTGCCGGTCACAACACACCCCAAGGACAATCCCCTGCCACCTTGTCAGCTTCAACCCATCAAAAAAATCTGTTTCGAAGCCATACAATTCAACAGTATAAGAACTAAACGTTTGCCAGCAAGGTGTGTGCAGTCCAGGGGAGACCCAGAAGGCATCCTGCCACCCGGCCAGCAAGTGAAGGATCCCTGCTGGGAGGCTGCACAAGAGCTGCTTCCTGCCCGCATTGGGTAAAGACCTCTGTGAAGCTAAGATTAGGACGAATTGCTCGTTTTATATCCCAGAAAAGTCTTTTTTCTGTGATTTAGTGCTGTAGCTTGTTGGAACAAGCATTTCTGCTATCCAGCAACCCAGTGGTGTGTCAATTCATAAAGTGCTGGGTTCAAAATTCGGTTTCTAAGTGCAGCGATGTGATGCATGTGTGTACCTGCATATGTCTGCGTGCACATGCCCATGCGTGTATGTCTATGCACGTGTGCACCTGTCATGCATGTGTTTACACATGCACTGAATGTACATGTGCCCATGCACGTGTGTTCCTGTGTATACGCACATGTGATGCATGCGCGTACCTGCATGTGTGTGCATGCCCATGTATGTTTGTGCATGTGTGCACCTGTGCTGCATGTGTGTTCCTGCATGTGACACATACATGCACCAGTAGTGCATATGTGTTTCCGCATGCGATGGTGTACAGACCCATGTTTGTGTGTTCCTGTGTGTGTGCACATGTGATGCATGTGTGCACCTGCATGTGTGTGCATGCCCATGCACATTTGTGCGCAGGTGATGCAGGTGTGCACCTGAGTATGTGTGCCTGTGTGCATGCACGTATGTGTGTGTAGGTGTGTGCCTTTGTGCATGCGCACATGTGCATGTGTGCATGCATTGTGTGTGTGTGTGTGTGTGTGTGTACACACCAATCTGTACACCCATCTCCTTTTCTTTGCCCTCTGCTGTTTGCGGGTGCCCCCAGACCCCAGGGCTTTCCAGGGCCTGCTGGGAAGCTCCAAAGGGAAGGCCGGGTGGTGGGAAATGGGAATGTCCTCTGCCACTAACTCCTTGTGTGCCCTTGGTCATGTCACTTAGCCCACCCGAACCTCGGTGCCCACGGGATGGAAGTGTGGATTACTATCAGGATCTACTCAAAGGGGCTCTCTCATGTCTTGTACCCATGTCCCAGCCCCGCCAGCCTACAGAAATGGCCGGGCCTTGGCCTGGCTTGAGGCCTGGTCCAGACCCTGCTGGAGCTTCACAGCTCAGCTGCCCCATTACACCCCCCGGGAGCTCAGGATAGGGCCCCGATCTGGGAGATTTTGCAGCAGGGGCGTCTGCCAGGGGTGGCCCGGGAGCGGCGAGTCCCACGTGCAGGATGGGGGGCTGGACCAGAACCTGCAACCCCCCACTGGGACCTTGCAGTCTGTGCATCTCTGCCCGGGAGGGGGAGCAGCCTCTGTGTGGACAGGCCACGAATCAGCCTCCACGACCTCCCCAAGCATCACTCAGGGCCCCTTGCTCTGCCTGTTCTGCTGCTCTGCTTTCTGCTCCCTGTCCCATCCATCACTCTGCTATCTACTCCCTGCCTTGTGCTCCCTGGCCAATCAACCACTCTGCTTTCTGCTCCCTGTCCTGTGCTCCCTGCTCCATCCACCGCTCTGCTTTCTGCTCCCTGTCCCATCCATCACTCTGCTATCTACTCCCTGCCTTGTGCTCCCTGGCCAATCAACCACTCTGCTTTCTGCTCCCTGTCCTGTGCTCCCTGCTCCATCCACCGCTCTGCTTTCTGCTCCCTGTCCCACTTGCTGCCCTGCATTCTCCTCCCCACCCCATCTGCCACTCTGCTTTCTGCTCCCTGCCTTGTGTTCCCTGCTCCACCCACCGCTCCGCTATCTACTCCCTGCCTTGTGCTCCCTGGCCAATCAACCACTCTGCTTTCTGCTCCCTGTCCTGTGCTCCCTGCTCCATCCACCGCTCTGCTTTCTGCTCCCTGTCCCACTTGCTGCCCTGCATTCTCCTCCCCCACCCCATCTGCCACTCTTGCTTTCTGCTCCCTGCTTAATCCACTGCTCTGCTTTCTGTCCCCATGCTGTCCATGCCCTCCTGAGCTTGCCAGGTACCACTCGTGGCACGCCTGCCCTGCCCCCCACCCCCCCAGCAGCCTTTGCTCACTCCCATGTGTACAGCGCCCAGCACAGGGCAAAGCCGAGCCTTATGGTTGTGGTGCAATGAAATGCATGCACAAACCAGAGGCTCCCGGGTATGGGGGCCATGTTGGGGACCCCCAAAAACACAAGGAGCCAGTGCTGGGTGCAGACAGGGCCCTGCCCCCTCGCTGGGGCAGGCGGGGGGGTCATTGCAGGGGCATCACTGGGGTGGTCGGGACAGCAAGGCTCTGGGTGCCAGGGGCATCAGCCGGGCTGGGGGCGGTGTCTGAGGCTTGAGCTGGTGTGTGTATGTGTGTGGGGTAACACACAGAGACACAATCCCACACACACAATTGCAGTTGCACACACACATACACAATTGTTCACATGTACATGATCGCAGATCACATATAGACACAATCACATATAGTCACACACACAATCACACACACACACTCACATAATGACAGATGATCACACACCCCCAATCGCGCACACACACACAGGATTACATACACACTCACATAATGATATACCTTCACATATACAGTCGCACATACACACAATCATACATGCATACTTGTATTCACATAGTCACACACACACACATAATCACATAGACACAATTGCATAGTCACACTCACACACACACACTTACACACACTCACATAAAATAGATGATCCATGCACAATTACACACATGCTCACAAATGATATACAATCACACACACACAGTCACGCACACACTTACATTGTCCAGCTATTTCAGATAATCATATAGACAGTTGCACACACACACTCATGCACACAATCACATAGACACAATTGCACACCCACTCACTTAATCACATGCAGACAGTCACACACTCACATCCATGTACACAATCACACACACAATTGCACACACTCACATAATGCCATACAATCACAGGCACGCACACAATTGCAGTCACACATACTCACTCACATAATCACAAAGACAATTACAGTTGCACACTCACACATGCACAATTATGCACACAAGTACACACTCGCATAATCACATATAGACAGTCACACTCACATGAATACACAGTTACATACACACTCACATTATGACATACAGTCACGTGCACACACTCATGCACACAGTCACACACACTCACATCACCCAGCTATTTCAGATCATCACATACGGTTACACACAGTCACATGCACTCACACTCATGCACACAATTAGACACACACTTGTACACACACTCACATGACAGACCATCACACACACACACAGTTGCAGTCACATGCCCTCACTCACATAATTACATACAGTCACACACAGTTGTACACACAAACACAATCACATGTGCAATTACACTCATATAATCACATATAGACACAGTCGCACACACAGGCATGGACGCAATCAGGCACACAATTACATACTCACATGATATACAATCACATGCACCCACACACAGTTGCAGCCTCACACACAGGCTCAGAGAATTGTCACAGTCATGCACACATGCACACAATCACACGCACACACACACACAGTTGCAGTCTCACACACAGACTCACAGAATCATCACCCAGTCACACGCACATGCCCACAATCACATGCACACAACCACACAGGTGCTCAATTACATGCACACAATCACACACACTCAATCACACACAGTCGCAGTCTCGCACAGGACTCACAGAATCATCACCCAGTCACACGCACATGCACACAGTCACATGCACACAACCACACTCACTCAATCACACACAGTCACAGTCTCGCACAAGACTCACAGAACCATCACCCAGTCACACGCACAGTCACACAACCACACACACAGTTACATGCACACAATCGCACCCTCAATGGCACCATTCCTCAATGGCACCATCGCCCGCGTGCACACGATTGCACACAACCACACCGCCGCAGCCTCGCAGAATCATCACACGCGCAGTCACACCATCGCATGCACACAGCCACGCAGGGGCTCGGTTACAGGCACACAATCACCCCGCACAATTCCTCCTTGACACAACCGCACGCCCAGCTGCACGCGCCCCATCACACACACACACACACACACACACACACTCCCTCGCACGCAGCGGCGCGCACACACGCACACAATGACACGCACACTCGCAGTCACACGCACAG